CACACACATATATAGAGAGAGAGAGAGAGAGAGAGAGAGAGACAATACCGTGTACGCAAGATAATGTGGAAACACGGAACGTCGAGGGGTGTGTAGTATTATTTTTTTTCTTTAAAAAAAATAATATACATGTTTCCGGGTTGCTGTATCTATACATGTGAGTGTCTGATTGTCTTTTTCTGGTCTTGGAAGTCTGTCTGTTTATGTTTCTTCCATTCAGCTTTTTTTTGGCGTTTTTTTTATTTTGGTTAAATGCGTGACTGCACGTTGCTGACATGCCACTGTCTTTCACATGAATCGCTGTCTTTTGTTGAAAACGGCTTGTGCCGCTTCCCCCGCTGCTGTGGCTCGCAGGGAAGGAGGAATAGATAGACCAGATTCTGGAGGCGCCGTGACCGCGTTACAACGTGTGGTCACAAAAACCATCCGATGGCCTCCCCTGAGGAAGAAAAACGCGTTGCATACTGCAAGAAGCACAATGTGCATCATCTCTTTGAGCTGCTAGCGACACGGCTACTGGTGGACCGCCCCGAGAATCCCTTTGAGTACCTGCGAGAGATGCTCTCAAAGGTGGAGGACTCGGAGAAGCACAAACACTCGCACGATCCTACAGTTCTTGCACCACCCATAAACGGCGCGGCGCAGCCACTGAGGAAGATTACGCTTGGGACATTTGGCATTGACAATGCCGGAAAGACGACCCTCATCTCGGCCCTGGGAGGCAAAATTGATGTGAACACCACCCCGACAGTTGGCTTCACGCCGACAAAGTTTCAGACTGATACGTATGATATCTGTGTATTTGATCTGGGCGGTGCCGCCAACTTCCGTGGCATTTGGGTCCATTACTTCCATGATTGCCATGGGCTCATGTTCGTTATAGACTCCGCCGCGGATGAGGCCGTAGTGGAGGAGTCTCTCAGGGTCCTTCGAGATGTCGCACAGCACCCGTACGTCAAGGGCAAACCGTTGCTGGTGCTCGCCAACAAAAAGGATCTAAAGAATGCCAGAGGCACTAGCGTCGTTCCGGATGGTTATTTGGAAGACCTCTTGGAACAAGGCACGGCGCATCGCGTGGTGGCCTCCTGCAGCATTAAAGAGGACCCCGACCTCGAGGAGGGGGTGGAGTGGCTGCTTGCGATGGTAGAGAAGTGTTATGACACGCTGGAGGCACGTGTCGTGCACGACACTGAGGCAGTGAAGGGGGAAAACAAGAAAAAGGCGGCAGAGCGGCTTGCGGCAATCAAGACTGCTTCATAGCAAAGGGATGGATACGAGGACTCTGTCGATGGGGGTGTTTGACCCTCTTTTCTTTGTTTGCTGTTGTTTTCCTCGCTCTTTCTTTTCTTTTTGTTCCTTTGCTTGTTGCTGCTGTTGTTTTTTATCGCTCCGTGTTTGGTTGCGTTCGCTTGACCCCTTCCCCCTCGTCGTTGTCTTCGTCAGAGCCCACTTGTCATCGTGGGGCTCTGCGCGGCAGATCGCTGAGAACGCACTCACACGCCTGCGTCCTGAACGAGAGAAATAGGCAAAAAAAAAAAAAAACGAGGTGAGTTGGGTCCTGTAGTGCAGCACCCTGCCATTCTGGCGTGGGAGGGCGAAACCACGCCGGGAACTCCATCGCGTAAAAGTTTTTTCGCTGCCCGTTTTTTATTTTTCTCTCCTCAGCCTGCGGGTTTTGTCTACTCCCGCCGCGTCTCTCCACTTCACTTGGTTTATGGGCCTCCCTCTTGCCGGTTCAGTTGTCTCCTGCACGCATTCGCTTTCATCCCCCCCCCCTTTTCTTGGCTTCTCTTCTTCTTTGCGAAGGGCTGAGTCGGCACAAAAGAGGAACCCCCGGCTCCCCCTTCCCTCCCCCCCTCCCCCCAACGTAGAGTACAATACACGGCGCCCTGCAGGGCACAGATAGCCAGAGCATCAAAAAACACAAACGGGCGATAATAATAATAACAAAAAAAGAGCGAACAACAAACCAACACACGCTCACACAGAGAAAGAGAGATAAAAAAAAAATCTTTGTATTCCGATCGCTTTTCTGTTCATTCTTCTTCGTAGTTTCTTCTTGAGAACGTGTGCGTAATTTTTTTTTTCTTCTTCTTTATTTGGGGGGAGGGATTCGTCTTGACCTCCATCTGCACGCATCTCAAGCGCTGCAACTAGTTGACTGTTCGTTTTTGGTTTCGGTGGCACACAGGACTATTGCGCACACAATCACGCGCACAGGCAAAACCTTAGACCAAATCAGTAGCGTGTCTGTGTGTCTGTATTTTATTGTGACGCGTCTTATATCCGGAGTAAATTCCCTCATATATTAGTTTTACTTTTCCCGTCCCTTTGTATGCCCCATGACATCGTTACCGTCAGCGTCTCCTCGGTTGAATGGAGTGCAGGAGCAGGGCCAAGGCTCGTCGAACTCCTCGCGGCCTGTTAGCTCTGGTGTACGCAGCGCCTTTGAGGCAACCTACCCGAGCTCTTACGGGAGAGGGCGGGAGAGTTTCCATTCTCTGAGTCGCACATCCAAACCAGTAGATTTTAGCGCTCCTGAGGTCGAAGAGGCCATGGAGGTCTTGAGGAAGCTTCTCTGCCCCGTGATTCTTCGAATAGTATTGCGAATGCGGAAAATAAAACGCTGGCCTGGAGAAAACGTGATGCGAGTGTATACAGCAGACTCTATTATTGACGCTATTCGGACCTCGGATTCAACTATAGCGAATTGGCCGGAGGAAATTCTTAGGCTGTTTGCGGAGGAAGCGGAGTACTTTTACTTGGAACCAAAGGAAATCATTGTGTACATGAATGAATGGTACGTGTCTACTGGGATTGTGGTACTCTTGTATGGGGAATTGAACGAAAGAACGGCATGTCTGGGGTCGCCAACCTCCTTGACTGGACGACCCTATGACTGCCGACACTCCGCCCAAGCAGTCCTTTGCGATCAAGTTGTTCTTTGTAGGGATGTCTCGAATTCGCTTATAGCAGCACGTGGTTACGCAGATGTGGCCGTGTTGCCCTCTCGATGGGTGTGGGATGTAATCAATAGCTACGTTTTACAGCACTTTGGAGGAAGTGTGCTGGATTGCCTGAAATTCGCTATCACACCCATGTGTGAAAGGATTATGAGGGAGACCTACTTCCCCACATCGTTGGTCCTGCGTCGCAGCTGGATGTGGTCACTCTTCGGATCCAGGGACAGAATACGTCTTGCGCGGTTAATGACAGTGAAGGCGTTCTGCATAGGTGACACCCTGTTCTGCGAGGGAGATCGTGATCCGTACATGCACATTATTCGACGTGGGGTTATAAAAGTAGTAGTAAAGAACCAGCCATTGCTCGAGTTCGACTCGGGTTCCTCCTTTGGTGAAGTGAGCATTTTATTTGACGAGCCTCGCTCGTGTCGCGCTGTTGCCTCGACAATGTGTGAGGTTTACTCCCTACATAGAAGGCATTTAATGAGGTATCTGCGAAAGCGACCAATGTTGTATGAAGCTATGATCCAAGCAGCGCTGGAACGGCGTGAGAAGTGGCTTGAGGATGGGAAGCAGCGAGATGTCATGGGACTTGCCGGTTTACTTGCCGGAGTTCCTTGTCTCAGTCAAAGTACGGAGAGGGTGCGCATTGCCCTTGCAATGGAGGCCAAAGCGCATGTCCTTCCACCGAACCAGACCTTGTTTGCCAAGGGTACAGTCTGTGGTCATCTCTTTCTCATTGGGCGTGGAAGTTTGATGGTGGAGACGGGAACGGGGGATCGCAGTGTACGATCAACGGCCGACTTTGTCGGCGAGCTGTGCCTTCACCCTCATCGTTGGCCGACGGATGTGCTGACCTGCACCTCCGTCGATGGATGGTCCCTTTCCGTGGATGAGATTTTGCGTGCTCTTTCCAGTATCAACGCCGATTCCCAGGCGGTGGATATTTGCCGGCAGGGTATTGAGTTGTACAGGGCACAGCATGGAGAAATCAGTGTTCTTGAGGAGCTTGCGGACTCCACACCTCCTTCACCGAAGGCCGAAAACGGCGGTGACGCTGCCCCACGCACAAAGCGGGCCACGCTTTCCTACTCACATGATCCACGGGGTTTGGATGAGTTGCCTGTGTCACTGCTTGCGCAGGCTGAAGGGATTTACACGAGTTTTGACTGGAAAGAGTACGCAATGAAGGACAAATCCGTCTTCGCCCTTCGAAGAAGACGATGACGCTGAACAGGTGAAGCGGAGTGAGCGACGATCTGTCGAACAGAACATTGAGAATGAACTCGGTTGGCGCGTGGGAGGACTTTTATCTGTCGCTGAAACGAAGAGCTCCAGTGCCGTAGATTCTGACTTCTCCGTTCATATTGATGATATGCAGCAGATGCTGGTGGAGCAGGTGTTTCTGATGCCCACCGAGCGTCAACCGACGCTGCTTCGACAAATTAACCGCAGCAGGATCACGCTCATCTTCGACGATGAGGCGGACCCCATGGAGGAATTATCTTCAGACACCTCCACCGCCAACGATCTCACGCTGCCTCAATACGTTGTGCCCTCCCCTGTGGTCTACACCCTTGATGGTGTCACCGCCTACAGTGATGGAACCCCGGTACCAGCTGCTGAGGTTCCCTCGATCGTCAGCCCACGCACAGGTCTAGACTTCGCCGCTACAGCGACGCGTCGACGAAGTCATACGCCGGAGTTCTCACGCCCTGTCCCCTGGCAGGTTACTACACCGCGTACCTCGGAGGAAACGAGCGGTGTCTTGGCCAAGTCCCGTCCCACGAGTGGAGCCCCGCAAAGTTTGCGACCGGCAAGGCCAACTTCAGGCTTCTCCCTGAGGCGTACGCCGCTACGTGCTGCCTCTGCTGGTTGCAATCAGCGATTGAGTCGTAGCGTCAGCTCAGTTAGCCGAACCAGTGTTCTGGGCACCCTCACTTTGTCCCAAATTTCAGAGAGTATGAGCACAGTTGCGCCGAGTAATGGTAACAGCTGGACAAAGTCCAATAGCATTGACCTTTCGCAGAAGGCGAAGATCACGGCTAGCATGTTTCAGTCGGCATTAGATCGGTACGTTAAGCTGGATGATCAAAGTTACTTCCAGGAAATGGTCCGCGTTTGTTTACCATCGCAAACAGAGGAACAATGGTTTGAGGAGGAACCGAGCAAGCCGGCAAAAAAGATTGAAGGACTAGTTTTACTATTGATGCATGTACGGCGTTGTGAGGGTATCGAGATTGATGAGTCCATGAAATCCCCCATTGTAAAAGTATTCACCAACGCTGGTGTGCTTATGCGTACTCCGGTTATGGAAGACCGTGAAGAACCTGTGTGGCCTATTGAAGTTGCCTCATGTATCAACTTTGTCCATGCAGACTTGGAGGTTCATTTCACAATATGTGATGCCGAGGATGAGGGAAAGATTGCGTATTCCGCCACATTGCCTACGGGCAGCCTTCGAGAGAATGGAGGTGTGGGCAAGGTATGCATACCTATGCATGCTGAGGAGCTTGGCTTATCTGAATCAAGCACCGATGTTGGGGCGCAAATTGAGGTTTGCATTATGGCTGTGACAGCCTCCAAGAACAGTAGTTTGAAGAAGCGCCTTGGTGACGAAGAAGATGAGGAATCTTCAGAGGATGTTAGTACGGTATACCTGCAGGTATTGGGAGTTCAAGGTTTAAAGCATCGTATTGAGGCGGTTGTCAGTGTCTCCGTGGAAAGCGATGGAAAAAGCAAAGAAATTCTGCGTACTCCAAGAGTCACACCTAAGACTCGCACACCCTCTTGGCCAGGGCAAAGTAGTTTCTGTGTCGTTAAAAGCGATGGCGCTGTTAGCTTTGACTTGTATCACCGTGATGCGTTCTTGGCGTCGTACGACACCCCCGTTGATACCCTGGCCTTTGGTGGAACAGGCATTTATGTCTTTCACTTGGTTCGGGCACAGGGAGACCCAGGCGAAGTTTATGGAGATATCACAGTCTCCATTCTTGGTCTGAAGGCGGCCTCTGTGGAGGAGCGCGCCTTGAATCGGCCAGCCAAGGTTCTCATATTGCACGTGGAAAGCTTGAATTTGGCGCTGACTTCGGGCGATTTCACTCCTGACCCATTTGTTATTGTACGCGGGTTAAATGGTGAAGTTATACTGCGCACCGCACTCAATCTTGGCACCTACAACGCAAAATGGACCGAGGAGGAGGCATCGTGTTTTATCATGTGTCCAAAGCTTGAAGGGGCTACTGCCATCTATCGGTTTGAGGTGTACGACAACAATGAGTCCAACAAAATTGGAACAGCAGAGATGGCGGTGTCTACAAATGGAGCACGGCGTAGCCGCATGCAGCTTCCTGTGGGGAACTGTGGGGCGTTGAATTTAGTGGCTCACACCTTTCCTGTTCAGGATGTTCCCCGGCCACTGCACGCGAGCAGAGATTCTTTGCCCATTGACGGCAACGAGGAAGGCTTCTTGTTATCGATTCATGTTAGTGGGTGTGACAACCTTCAGGGTACGGGCTTTGACGACTTTCAGATTGATCCCCTCGTAACCGCACGCGTAGGACGAAGGCGCGTGGTGGTGGCACCATTGATTTCCGGAAGCACAGCTCCACGGTGGCCGTATCCGAAGGCCACGTTTATTCTGCCTGTTTTGCCAGAGCTCTTAAATTATGTCACTCTAGAGGTGTGGGATACAAACATCGAGTTGTGTGATGTGCTTGGTGTCGCACGCGTCTCAGTTGAGGAACTTTGCCGAACAGGCACGCACCATTTTCTGCTCCAACCGCACAAGGATCAGGAGTTTGGACGGCGTCAAAATCTGGGCACTATCACGGTAAAAACTCGCTTTGGACGAAGGAACGGCGAAGTTGTTTCCGATGGCTCTTCGGATTTACTTTTGATTGGGAATAGCTACGGTGGAAGTTTGCTGGATAACCGTCTCTTTCAAACCCCAGGCGACTCCCCAGAGCTTTCTGTCACGCGCGTCCGCGTGCATCTCTCCTGCTGTAGCGCTCTCCAGACGGAGACGCCAATTAGGTTCATCAAGGCCACTATGTCATGTCTTCAGCACGTGTTGTTGGAGGTTAAGAAGGAGTACGACAAGTCCAGTAGCGTGGCCTGGTCGCTGGAGGAGGCCCAGGTAGTCGTTGACCTGCGGTCAATTTATGGCCGTTCGCTGCGCTTGACAGTTGCGGGCAGTTCCACGACTCCTGGGGGTGAGTACACAGACATTGGTTCGGCGCTCGTGCCTTTCTCGACACTCGGCTCGGCTGCCCCAGAGACCATTTCGGTTCGGAGCTTTTTGCTTACAGACTCACCGAGCGACGAACACCACCCGCGCGGAGTTGAGAAGAGGGAGCGTTCGCGAAGTATTAGTGTTAGCGCGGATGCGCCGACCATCACCCTCTCTCTCTTCGCATCGGGCGCGGCGCGCCCCGTAGGCCTGGGCGGCGAATAGACAACTATGCCTTCATCTCGCCCTGATGGCAGCGTGCTAGTGTGTGTGTGTGTGCGTGTGCATGTTCGTCTGCCACTTCCGACGACGATGCACTGGTGGGTTGGAAACGTCTGGCGGTGCGCAGAGGCGAGGAAGCAGGTAGCAGCGGGGGAGAGAGAACATCAAATGGCTGGTAGAGGATGCCGGCGCTTGGGCGAAGAGACGAAGAAGGAAAAAGGAGGAAGGACGGAAACGTGGAAAAGTTGGACTCCCCCTGGGAAGCCACGGTACACATGGCAACAGTTGCAGAAGTGTCGGTGAGAGCTACATCGAGCCAAGAAGGAAAGCAAGGGCAAGCAGAACTCTGGGAAGCATTGCTGCAGGTAGTTATTTACCTATTTATGTGTTATAGTCGATGCGGCATGCCTCTGTTTAACAGTGACGTTTTCTCTTTTTTCTTTTTCTGTTAATGCGAAGCTTGGCCTCTCCTTATATCTATTCATATATGTATTCATATATATATATATATATATATATATATATATATATATTTCTGTATTTCTGTATATCTGTCTGCATATATGTTTCTGTACGTGTGTGTGTGTGTGTCCCCTTCCCCCGGACTCTTGCGTTTCTGCGTGCTGTGAGTGTGTAAATTACAACGACACGGAGGTCACTAGGAGAATGAAAGTGAACGGAGGAAAATGAAACCAATGGGCAAAACAAAGGAGCGAAAGAGAGAGGGAGTACGTAAATGGAAGATGTGCCGCTTGAAATGTAAAAAATGACGGAAATTTATTATTATTATTATTATTTGTGAATGCCGGGTATTCTCTCTGTTGGTATCTTCATTTCAGCCCCTGTCCTTTTCTTCCGTGCATAATGCAATATTGCGCAAATACGTGTGCCCATCCCTGTACCTCATCTCTGCCCCCGTCTGCTGCGCTATGTGCCCCTGACCTCCTCCTCTTTTGACGCTAATCCTTTTCTGGCCTCGCACTCTTCTTCTTGCATCACCTGCCCTACCCATGGGGTGGTTGAAACAACAAGGCATAAAATGAAAGAAAAAAAAAAGAAACCACCTGGGAGGCGGCAGAAAGGTGGCGTGCCAAACGCAGAAGGATGCCGGTAGGCGTGAGGGGAAGAAGCGGCGGGCTGGGGCTGAGAAGACGCAATGGCGGATGAGGAGGATGAGGGAATCGAGGCACTCAAACTAACTGATGGTCGTAAAACTTGATGCTTTTGTTTGCTGTTGTTCTTCTTGTCTTTTTACTTTTATGCCTCCCTTTACCCAACGTAGGGGAGCAAGGCGGGGAAGCCTACCTAAGAAGAAGGCCCTAATAAATACATCAAAAGAAAGAGCGGATACATCGGCAGAGGGGAGTGACCGGCGGGAGTGAGATTGCATCACACCTTCATTCCTGGAGGAGCACCCGATACAGGCAAACCAAGACGCGGGTGAAGTTTACCTTTACGGCCAGCGCAAAGGTCCTTGTGGGAATTTCGGACGAGCGAAGGAGTGAAGGGGAAAGCAAACACAAATAGGTAACCCGATATATACCTATATGTTTGGCCCCGATTTTTTTCACCAGGCTTTTCCGCCTGGTGTGGGTGGCAATCCTACGGGGGCCGCATCTCCGCTTGTGACGGTGTACGGGATTTATCCAAAGTCAAACATGGCTGCCTCGATCTACGCTAACATGTCCTCGCTCGCGGCAAGCACTGCGGCCCTTTACCAACGCCCTTATTGCCTTTCTCTCAACGGCTTTGGCGCACCTCCGTCTGTGCCACGAGAGGAGGAGGAGGAAACCGAAGGACAATTTGAGGTTACCGATAGTCATTGGAAGCCCCATGTGCCCGTTCATGGGGCTCTTGTTTCCCCTTCCGCAGGATGCCAGATCTTTTTGGGCGCACAACCTCCAGCTTCGGGGGCTGATAATTGCAAACGTGTGTGCGTGCGTCCGGCCTTTCACGAGGTTCACGGCATCATTGCTGAAAACGGCAAAGATGCTCGTCATCACCCCGAGTACTTAATGAAGAACCCACATGAAATGCTTTCATGGCTTCAAGAAAAGGAACGTGAGTTTCAGCAGACACTGTTGCGGGATCCAAGGAAGGCTTTTCGGGTATTTTGTGCTGACCTAAAAGAGGTGGTTGAAGTGCCCATATCTGCACTTCGTTTCACAAAAGGATTGTATGTAGACCCCAGTTTGCGGGTACGAAGGGTGCGGAGTGGGCACCAAAATCAATTTTCCATGATGGCGTCGCAGGTGCCGACGGCATGTGGATTATTCTCCGAGGATCCCTCCCAGTGCAAGTGGGAAAGATGGTGTAATCAGGTACATATTGAGCAAGGATGGATGCAGTCTAAAAAGCGCGAGTTTGGGGCATGGTCGAATGCGCTTGAAAGACGCTTCAATGGGCTCCCCCCGGATCACCTGTTTTCGGTCCATGACCCTCAACTGAAGTCTACGTTAAACCTACCGAAAGCTTCTATATCGGGTTTCTCACGTGGCTTATTCCAGGGATCTGCGAAGAAGGCGCCGAGTGTGTGTATGCTTTTTCAGCGCGGCCGCTGTACTGCGGGTTCATGCTGCAATCAAATACACGTGGATCCAGAGTATTTGCAGCTGCATCGGCGCTGGGCATATAGTGGTGAGCAACTCACTGAAGAAAAGCGGAGAGAAATTTGGGAGCAGATGGCGTCCCTGCTAAGATCACTCTCTTCGCGTTGCGAGAACGGCGTCGTCGGTGAAAATGATTCATCTGATCCAGCGAGGGAGTTGAATCCGAAGGCTCAACCGTTCGTTCCATCACCAACAACGCCGCTGCCACCGCCGGCGGCCACCGAAAGAACGCCTGCGGAGAGCAGTATGGTGATAAAGGACAAAGTGATCTCCGACGCTCGCAGCGTGATGAGGGACGACAACGTAAACAATTCATCTGTTTTGTGTCAAACAAGGCATGTCCTTATGGCTGACCCAGTTTCCATGGAGCAGGAAATTTTTTTTCCTCCTGTGGTCTTGCCAGACACCTCTGTCGTTGCGCGTCCACACCAGCAGCAGCAGGAGAATGTATGTAAGCATATCTCCTCAAATGGTACAAGCAGTAGTAACTCGCGTTCTCGTACGAGCAACTCCGCCGGAGGCAATTTGCCTCTATGGGAGTTTGCGCCGGTGGCGGACGGAGATGAGAGGTCGCAGTCCTCTCTTCAAGCGAGCCATAGTAATATAAGCCATGCCAGCCGAAGTCACCGACACACGAATAACCCTTACACCCTTGGGGGTAGTTCAAGCTGCACCGCCTCACCCACGTTTGGATGGGTGCAGCCTGTGCGAAGTGCAGGAAATAGCTGTACTACCATTCCAACTGGTTGTGTGGGGGCAGACGCCAGTGGATCCCTTGGTGCCCTTGGATGGGGAACGCGCACAAGGACCGATCCATCTCCTGGAGCATCCGATACTCGGTCTGCACCGTTCTCAGTGTATCATGACCTTGACGGCAGCCTTCACAGCTACTCTCCCAACCAACACTGGAATGCTTCAGGCAGCGTCTGTGCTAAGACGGTGGAGGAGCTTCAGAAGGTGAAATTGGATAACTTCCACGCAAACGCTGAGGACAATGTGTTCTTTGGGACTCCTTGAAATGAAGAAAGAAAGCATAAAGTGCAGCATTTCTTCAGTCATACATGTAGGAATTGGGATGTTGAGTAGGGTAGAGGAAGAGAACGACAGTTTTTGTTTTTGTTCTGTTTTTATTATTATTTTGCTTGTCCTTTCAGTGCCGGGGGCATTTTTTCGAGTCGCCACTTGCGGGTACACCGTAGGCCTTCCATCATGTGTTACGAGGCAACAAAGGATGCGGTGTGGGGACATGAGGAGGACGCCGTGTTGGTGCACACGCGTGAGTGGCTGGTTTCCGTTTTACTGGTATTTTTGTCGTTCTTGTTTCGTTTACGTATGTGAATAAGCGGTGGGAGTCACTTTTCTGAGTTGTCGCCATGAGCGCAGGGAGAGAGAGTGTGTGTGCATGTGTGTGTGTGTGTGTGTGGAAGGGGGGGGGGCATCGACATTTGAAGGCCACCTGCTCGTGTCTTATCTAAGTCTAGAGCTGAGGGGGGAAGTGCAGCTCTTGTGCTCCCCTAATACATGCATGCACATATCTGGAGGTCCTTGTGTGCGCGTGTGCGGGTCTGTCGCCTTCGCGGTGGGGGGAGAGGAGGGACAAAAAGCCCGTGAAGCTGCGAACACGGCGCCAACATTCACGCTGACAGGCAAGCCTTGACAGCGGGTCGTTCAGGCGCGAGGGATGCTGCAGACGACTCTGCTTCACCTTGCGACGAGGGGCGCGGGTCCCTCATTGCTGGGGAGGAACGCGCGGTGGCGCGTCGTAAAGCGGCGTGTGCCCGCACAATTGCTGCGTAGCTGCGAACAAAACTGAAAAAGAAAGAAGGAGGGATGTTTTTTTGTTTTTGTTTCATGAATTGTTTCAGAACGCACGACGTCCGGTTCCTCGGATGGAGGGCAACAGGCATCACAAGCACGCATGCCATCTCCATCAAGAAGAATAAAACAAACTGGGTGGGGTGGAGGGACGTCAATGAGGTGGAGATCCGCACGTGGGAAATGATCACTACGGCCAGGCACTCACACAAGCACGCAATAAAAGAAAAATGATACACACACACACACACACAAACGTATTTCTTTACGGGGCTTTTCTCGCCTGACGCATGTGTATTGGCGTCTAATGTTGGTTTTTTTTTCCTCCTTCGTTTAACGTTTTTTTTTTAGGTGTTGTTTATGTTTTTTTTG